AGATTGAAACCTGGGGCATGAAGTTTCGGTGGCATTTAGAGAAAAATCAAACTGTCGCCGTAAGAGCACACATTAGAAATCTAGAGAGACTTAAAATGAACTCAACCTAAGAAGTTAAAGAAAGAATAATACATTAAACCCAGGTAAATACAAGGAAGAAAATAAAGTGAATGACACAAAACAAACCAACAAAAGGGAGGATCAACAAAGTCAAAAGCCTGTTGAAGACGTGAATAAAACTGTCAAGGAGCCGGCAAGCTTGACCACTGGAAATGCACGGAGGCACAAACAAGCAAGTGAAATAGGGGCCTGGTAGCTCAGTGGTAAAGAATCCACCTGCCAACACAGGAGACAAGAGAGTTTGATCCCTGGGTTGGGAAGATCCCCTGGATGGGGCAGGGGATGGCAACCCACTCCAGTATTCTTGCCTGGAGAATCCCATGGACAGAGCAGCCTGGCAGGCTATACAGTCCATGGGGCCGCAAAGAGTCGGGCACGGCTAAGCGGCTAAACAACAGCGAACCGCTGATGGTACAGGTGCGAAAATGATAATAAATGCCAATAAACATGAAAACTAGGGTGGGACGTTCACATTGTTAAGAGTGAGCAACTTATCAAAACTGACACAGGAAGAGATAGAGAACACTACCCGTCCCATAACCATGCGAGTCACTGACTCAATTAAAAATCTGCCCACGAAGAACACGTAGGCCTGGGTGGCTTTGCCTTCAAGTTTCTCCAAACATTCTGTGGAAGAAAACCCTAATCCTATACAAAGTATTCTAGAATACAAAAGAAGAGAGGTTGCTTCTTAACTCATCCTGTGAGGCTCTCCTAAACTGGATGCCCAAACAGATGAGAACAGGACCTATCTCACCCACAAATGTGGACACAAAGATTCTGAAGAAAAGGTGAGCAAGAGAGCTTCCGCATTGTCTAAGAAAGAGTATATAATGGGAAGGACGGGGGTGCATTGGGGAGAGGCCAGAGACCACATAGATGTCTGGAAAAATAGCCTAGCCCAAGATAATAGAGGCCCAAACTCCGTGGGCAGGGTGTGAAGCTGGCGTGCGAGGGTGAGCTGCTTTGAGGGGCTCTCGGGAGGGAGGCAGGGGGAGCTGCCGGGATGGTCGAGCCTCTGGGTCCTGCTTTTAGGCCCGGGGGATGGAGGGGTCTGGGAGGAGGACTGAGCAGGAGGAGGGAGGTTGGGGGCAGACTGGGCCCTCCTGGTCCAGGGCAGGGGCTGGGGACGTGAGGCGGCGGGGTGCCCAGGCTGGGGGCATTTCAGTCCAGGGGAGAGGTGTGCCCAGCTAGGGTTCTAGGACAGGGGGCAGTGAAGGAATGCCAGGTGGGGGAGGGCCCTTCCCACCCTTGCTCTCTGAACTGGGGCCTGGAAACCCAGGACTCCCGGTGTCCGGCTCTGAGCCATGAACATTTCCGGCAAAAACAGAGAAGAAAGAAATTCTCCCAGCCCACTGTGTTCCTCATATCAGCAAAAGCAGTGTGAGCTGAGCTTGCAAAATAAACAGGGCTCAATGTAAACACTGCAGCAGGTCCAGGGGCCAGAGCTAAGAATACACACTGGGGGGAGGAAGGTGGGAGCCGACTGCTTCATTGGGTCCCCAGAGAGCCCAGGGTCCTTGCCCCGCGGCAGCCCTGATAGGGAGGGGCCCGGGGGCTGGGGGTCGTGTTCTCAGGACCTGTCCCAGGGCTGGCAAGGAATCCCCACCACCCCCACCCCCCCACCGGGGCAGAGTCTGACCACGGCCGCCAGCGGACCCCGCTGCCTGCCCCCACCCCAGTCCCCAGCCTGGCCCTCCTTGTTCTGACGCGGCCTCTTCTCACCAGACCCCTTGTGTTTATGAAATTCTTTTCTGCTGTCTCTCTCCACCTTATCTGCCCCTCTGTCCGTGGTTTCCGCTGGGGCTAGCTCTAACTAGCTAATTAGACAGCTGCGCAAACTCCCTGGGCCTCGGTTTCCCCACTTGCAAAGAGAATTTATTTGGGCAAAGGCTGTCCTTCCCCTTCTCCCTCCGCCAAGTACAGAACCCGATGAGCAAGAGCAGTTCCCGCGCCTCCTCTGGGGACCTGCGGGTCCCTCAGGCCCCTGGGTGAGGCCAGGGTGGGGGGTGTGGGGTGTGGGCCCCGGGCAGGATGCTGTTTCAGCCCTGCACGCCCCTGGAGCCAGGCAGGCCTGGACAGCCAGCCCAGGCCGGGGACAGGTGTGCCGGGCGCCCCCTACAAGACAGGGGTTGGGGGGTGGGGGGACCGCGTGCCTTCTGAGCCACCCCCCTCCTCTCCCAGCCCCTCTTCCTGCGGCCGCCAGCCGGCTGGGGGGAGACTGCTGCCCTCCCCGCCGAGGGCCGGAGCCCAGATGAGGAAGCAGTTGGGGGCCAGGCTCCCTTCCGGCCTGAGGCCGCCCGGCATGCGGGGAAGGCCTGGGGGGGCTTGGCTGGCGGGCTGGCTGGTACTGCCACCGCCGCGGGCCTGCTGGGCGTCTGAGGGCCGGACGGCTGCTGCGTTTCCTGCCCCCAACTTCCCGCGTCAGCAGGATTGCCAGGGGGTTGTTTATGGTCCTGATGGCCGCTGCGATAAGCCGATAGCGTGGGGCCCAGCACGGCCCCTTCCCAGGGTCCATCCGCGAGGGGCGTCGGCCGGCGGGGGAGGGGCCCACAGAGGCCTCGCCTGGGTCTGCGCACATCCACGGGGGCGGGGAGCGTGGAGCAGGCTCGGGACTCCGAGTGACGGAGCCTCTTGGCCTAACCAGCTCCGCGGGGCAGGGGGGACGAGGCAGAATCCTCACTGCCCGGGAACAGGCGGCCCCTCTCCTGGGCACAGAGCCTGATGGGCGCAGAGGCTGCCAGGGGCCTTGCCCCCAAACCGTGTCCTCCAGGACCCTCCCCCGTTTTGTTGTTCCGATCTGAAGAAATGTGGGTCTGCGATGGGGTACCCCCAAGGCCAGCACAGGCCCCACCTCGCCCGCCACACTGCCCCTGGCTGACTAAGGGCCGTGTCTTGATTCTTAGACCCCACAGGTGCCCGGAGGGCTGCAGGGGACCCTGGGTGGCCCCCCAGCACCCCCAGAGGACACCGGGCTCCAGTCTAGGCTTGAAGGAGCGGCTTGTCCTGAATCGGGCAGAGTCAGAGTCGTAGGAAAGCCCCAGGGCAGTGGGACAGGGGACAGAGCCAGGCCAGGGCAGGGACCCGGGGCGGTGTGAGAGTGTCTGGACGCTGGGACAGTGGGTGCCCCAAGGGCAGCTGGGAGGGCGCCGGCTCACGCGCCCAGGGTCACCATCGCCCCCGCCGGCTGTGGGGGTCACTGAGCAAAAGCTGTCCCAGGGCCAGGCGCGGGGGTCGGCGGGGTGGGGGCCAGGCCTGCTCCTGGCTCTGCCTCGGCTTCCTTGATTTTTCTGTTGAAATATTTATTCGGCTGCACCGGGTCTTAATTGTGGCACGAGGGATCTTGTTTTCAATTGCTCCATGTGGGATGGGCATGTGAACTCTCTTGTGGCCTGTGGGATCTGGGTCCTGACCAGGGATCAAACCTGGGCTCCCTGCGCTGGGAGCGTGGAGTCAGCCCCTGGACCACCAGGGAAGGCCCCCTCTGCTTCCTGTGATGACTGGAAGCCCCACCCAGAGGGCCTGGTCTGCCGCAGGGTCACCTGCTGCTTCTCGTGGAAGCTGCCAGCCCTGGTCACACACAGGAGGCAGAGTGAGAGCCAAGGACCGGCCAGCAAGGAGGCAGAGTCCAGGGCCCCTGAGGCTCTGATGCCGCCGGCCTGGGGAGCTGACCATTCTGGGTTTCAGTTCCCATCCTGCCGGACAGGACATCTACCACCGCACAGTCCGCTGTAGGACGGGACAGAGGCCCTGCTCGGCCCTGTGCTGACCGAGATGGGCCAGCCCTCCAGTGGGGTCAGGATGTTGGGGTCACACAGCCCCAGAGGGGCAGGCCGGCGGGTGAGGGCCCCCGTTTCACCTGGACAAGCGACCCTCCCTCTCGGACCCCACATACTGGATCGTGACCCCACGCCCACCCCAGCCGGGGAAGACTGCAGGTGGGCAGAGGGTAGTCCTGCAGGCCTGGGCTGGGGGCGGGAGGGGCAGCAACTGGGAGCCATGCCCCTGCCCGCCCGCCCAGCTGCAGCAGAGATGGACATGGGCCAGAGCCAGGCGTTGCCCAGGAAGTGGAGCAGTGGATGCTCTCCCTGCCCAAGCGTAATTCCTCTATTTTTAGCCCCCCGGCGGCTCTCAGATAAAGTCCATGTAGATGAACGAGCTGTTTGGCACGATAAGAGCCTGCACCTAACCACAGAGACTTCACAGGGCAGAATGGCCGCCCATCCCGTCCCACAGGTCCATGGGGGCTCCGGGATGCCGGCACAGAACCCCGCAAGGACTGGGGCGCCCCAGCCACTGAGGCGGCCGTGCCCTGGAGCGGAGGGAGCGTGGGCGTCCACATCCTGCCTGGACGCCCAGCAGGGCCTGGGCAGACACTGCCCACCTCCCGTTGCCCTCGCTCAGATGCCCGCAGTGGAGGGTCCTGGGGCCCGCAGCCCCTGCTCCCCGCATGACGCACCTTTGTGGCCCTGCCGGCTCTCCAAGTCCCTGAGTGCCCTCGGGCTGGGGCCAGGGGAGAGATGCCCACCTCAGCTACGCCAGCGAGGGGCCTGTGGGCACTCGGTGCCACTTGCCCCTGAGGATGCCCCCTGAGTGAGGCCTCAGACCAGCCTGGACTCCCGCATCCTCTTCCCTCCCGCGGGGAGATACCCACTGCACACGGGGAAGTAGATGGCGCCTGCCTCAGGAAGCCCACACGAGCACGGACGGAAGGCGAGAAGGAGGAAGGAAAGAGGGGAGAGGGACGGAGGGAGACCCCAGACGCCGAGGGCGCTGTCTGGGCACAGAGCGGCAACGTGGAGCGCCGCTGGGGACAGCCCTGTCCAGGCCCCAGGACGCCGCCCGCGGCCGCGGGAACCAACACAGGCTCAGGCGCCTACCTTCTCCTCCACGCGGTTCAGGCGGGCACCAATCGAGTTGCTGCCGCGGTCCTTCGTCTTCTCTGTGGGGCAAAGCACCCAAGTCAGGGATGCCAGTGCTAGCCGGTGGGGTGGGGTGGGCTGGGGGAGAAGGGCGACGGGGGGTGAGGGAGCTGGAGTCGAAGGCCTGAACCTCCGAGGACGTCTCCTAAGAGCTCTTCCGTGGTGGGAACTTCAGGAGACGATGGTGGAGGGGGAGGGGGTGGGCGGGCGCTGGCCGGCTTGTCAGTGTCCCACCCTTCCCGTTTCCTTGATTCCCGAGAGCGCGGAAGACAGGGACAGCCTGCCTGAGATGGTGCCCACTGTGCCCTCCGCCCCCGGGAGACGCTCGCTCTGGCCAGGAATGCCTGTTGCCCCGAAACCACCGCTGTCCTGCCTCTGCCTGAGCTGCGCCTCCTGCCTGAGCCTGAGTTAGGTCAACCCCAAGGAACTGGACTGGCCCTGTTCTCCCCGTGTGACCCACAGCCTGCTCCCCAGTGCCTCAGAGCTGGAGAGCCACACCCACCTCCGCTGCGAGGTTCTGGCTGGCTTCTCAGCCCCCAGCCCCACTTCCAGGCCCACACCTTCCCAAAGACCTGGGCACGTTTCTGCACCCAGATCATCAATGGCCTAGAAAGGCCTGCCCTTATCAGGACCCTTGTAGGTTCCTGTCCTAACTGCAAATCCCGTGTAAATTGTGTTCAAAGACACCTTGCTTAGGGTGGGTCGACCTGCCCCCATCTCCCTGGAATTCTGGGCGTTCCGAGACATGGAGTTCCGAGACATGCACTTTCTGATGGTGGGGAGAGGCAGGTGTGGGTGGGGCGATGGTAGGTGGGTCTGGCACAGGCTGCCATGCTGAGGGTGCCTCAATGCAGAAACCCACCTGAGACGGAGATGAAGAGGGAGGGCTTCCCAATGGACTGGTCCAGCCTGGGGGGGTGGGGAGAAGGAGATGGAGACCAGCTCATGTGTGGCCCTGGGCACCACACTGACATCTGGCCGATCAGTGGGCGGATGGGCCAATGTCCCCAGCGAGACAAGCTGCCCTCCCCTTCTGGGGGCCACCGCCTGCCACCACCCCAAAACCAGCCAGGTGCCTCTCAGATTCCCAGAGGCCCACACTCCCATGGGGGGCCTGGATGGGGGGTTCAGAGGTGAAGGGCAGTGGCTGGACTGTCCCTTTGTCATCCTGCCTGGGTACAGCAGGATCCCAGAATTTCCCAGTGTCCTGTAGCCGCTTCATAAATGCCCCAGGCCAGGTGCCTGGAAGTGTCCAGAGAGGCAGGACTGCAAGAGGTCCCTTCCAGGGCAAGACCAGGTCGCTGGGCTGGATGGGCTTCACATCCCTGTTGTAGGTCAGTGACAGGGGCGGGGTGAACAGGAGGCAGGAAGCCTGAGCTCCTGCTTGGCCAGAGTGGTCAACATGGGTGGTCTCCCAGCCACACCCTGCGCCTCACAGAGCGGGGTCCCCAGGCCAGCCCACGGCTGATGCGCAGCTGGTCTGAGCCCACGCGAGCCCCTAAGGAGCCGGCGCCTCCAGGAGGACGAGCTCTCTGGCCAGAAGCCAGAACACGTGGGCTTCCGAGAGTTGGGGTGCTCAGCGCCCAACCGGGAGGGTCTCCCCCTGCCGTGTATCTCCCGAGGCTTGACCTGGGCCTGCTCAACAGCGGGTGGGCTGGGATGTGAAGTGTTGGCATCTCCAGACTTTGGTGCAGTTGGAGCGAGCCCTCGTGCTCTGCCCCGCGCTGCTCGAGCCCCTCCCCTGCAACCCACGTCCCGCCCCCTGCCATCCACGCCCCGCCCCACACTGCCCACGTCCCGCCCCCTGCCATCCACGCCCCGCCCCGCGCTGACCACACTCCGCCCCGCCCCCGGCCCGGCGCGCCCACCTCCGCTGCAGCTCCTTGATGCGCACCATGAGGTTGAGATGGCCCTGGGAGTACTGCTCGATGACGTCTCGCACATCGTAGGGCTTCCGCGCTTGCTGCAGCGGAGAGACAGAATCAGGCCGTGCTTGCGCGGGTGGGTGGGCCAGCGCGGGACGCAGGACGGTGCCGAGCCTCCGTGGGCATCCGGGATTTAAGGAGCCGCCCATGTGGCACCAAGGGGCGGGCCGGGTTCAGCCCCCATCCCCCATTCCTCACCCTACCTGGGAGGTGGGGGACCCCGGGCCAGTGACTCGGCCTCTCTGGACCCAGGGACCTGCCCACTCTCCCTTTCCAGGCCCCCAGCCCTGTTTCCAAACTGCCTAGGAAGAGCTGGCCCAGCTGAGGGCCCAGGGCAGGGGGACGAGCATGGCTCTGGTCAGTGGCAAAGAGGGCAGTTTTGTGCAGCCCCCGTTGGCCTTGGCCCCAAGCTGACCACACCCTCGCTGGCAGGCGCCCACACTGTTCTCGGGGTGGGGGTGATCCACCTCACCCCCTTTCCTGGCAGTCAGCGCCCTGAGGTGAGCAGAGGGGGCCCCAGGGACAGCCTCGGCCTGCAGTGCCTGTTGTGGGTGGCAGGCCTCCTGCTGGGGCTTCCAGGCTTCCTGGGAGAAGAGGATGGTCCCACCGTGGGCCTGGGCCAGGGGGGCAGGGCAGGGGACCCTGGAGCTCCAGGCTCGGCGCCAGCCCTGAGCCCATAAATGCATCCGGGGCTCAGGTGAAACCACAACAGAGAGAAGGAGGCTTCTCAGGATGTCAGCAAAACCTCCAGCCACATCTATGGCCTCGATCCTAGGAGCCCACGGGCTGCGGGTCCCACCCAGGTAGCAGGCTGAGTGGGGGTCTGATGGCTCAGGAGGCCCTTTGCCCACACAAGCAAGCAGGGCTCATTGGGAAGAGAGACTCTGTTGGGGGGACCTCAGGCAGACAGGGTTGGGGGGGCCTGGGTGGTCTCATTAAACCTGAAGGGCTCACACTAGTGATGAGCTGGGAGGTTACTGCTTCTTGCTGGCGGGGCGGAGGGTAGCGGGCCTGCAAGAAACTCCTGACAGCTTGCAGGGCGAACTCGGGCTGGAGGGTCAGAGGATGAGAAGGAATAAGGCTCAGATGCCTGTTGAGGGCCAGGACCAGGTCTCAAACCTGGGAACCCCAGGGGCCCTGTCCTCCGTGCCTGCCTGGGGCGTACATCTCCTTGCGGTACCACCCCAGAGGTGGGCTACCCTAGGCTAAGGGCAAGGCCACCTCTGCCTTCCCAGAAAGACGCTCCCTTGAGGGCAGAGTCCTGCCTCCATCTCTGGGCACCTCTGGACATGCCCAGGTGCCCTGCCATCAACACTGGCAGCTAAAGTTCAACTCCCTACATGGTTTGGGACCCCAGAATCCTGAGGCAGGACGGAGCCCTCCCCCCCATCAGGGACTGGGCACAAGAAGGCCAAGGCGGTTCCTGTCCCCAGGAGATTCTCCAGGTGGGGCCCTCACAGCTGATACCCAGCCCCGCCTCGAACTCTGGAACCACCCTGCATCCCCTTATGGCCGAGACGCAAGGCCCATGGTAGGATCGTGGGGTCGGGGGTGAGATAGACTCTGGCAGGCTCTCTGATGCCACACACCCAGCTGCAGGACAAGTGTAAGACTGGCGCTGGGTGATGGGCCCAGGACTCAGTGCTTGCTTCTGTAAGATGGGGCTGCTGAGCCCTCTGGCTGACCAGGGGAACGAGGGTAAAGTAAGATGTGAGGCGAGAGAGGGCTGGGGGCTCCTGAGCAGCTCGTGCCAGGAGAACCCAAATGGCTGTGATGGTGGCTGTGGCTGGGCCCAGGGTCTGCAGTGTCTAGTGCCCACGGGGAGGCGGTCCTGAGCGGTGATGCCTGCTTGCCTGTGGGCCAAAGGGCTTTGGGAGGCTGGGGGCCACCCCCAGACCTGCCGATGCGATCAGGGGCAGGCTCAGAAGAGGGAAGGCAGGATACGGAGGTCAAAGTCGAGCAGGCCTGGCCTGGAGTGGAGCGGGTCCTTGTCCTGGTCTCCCATACACCCTGAGGGGGTCACGAACCACTGTGGCCCTGCGTGTGTTGAGGGGCTCTGTGTGCACACATGTACACAGGCGTGCCTGTGGGAAGGCGCGAGAGTGCAGGGAACGGGTGTGTGTGCGCCTGCAGGAGCAGGTGGAGGGGGGCTGTGAGCATGGCCCCCCGCCTCGCCTCGTGCAGGGTGTGGGCCTCAGCAGGGCAACCGACAGCCGACTGACACCCAGGACCCATGGCCTGGCGGCGTCTTAGGCCCCCTGAGACTCATCTCGCAGTGGGTAAGCCCCCCCTTCCCCGCCCTGCCCCCCGCCGCCACCAGGGTCTGGTCGGCGCTCCTGGAGGCCTTTGTCAAGTGGTTGCCTGGGGTCTGCCGCAGAGCTCATGTCCGCTTTCTCTCTGAAGCTAATTTCCTCTGGCGGCAGCAGCAGGAGCCTGAGATGAGCCGAGATAATGCCGGGCTGTCCAGACTGACCGACGGTGGACACGGGAGTTCAAGGCAAACTTGAAGGGCTAAGAGGCTCTGGCTCCTCCGGCCAGACACAGGGGCGGCCAGCTGGGCACTTATCGGCCAGCGAGGCCCGCAGGGGGGCCGCCGGCCACGTCTGCTGCCCCTGGGGCCAGATGGGGGTGGGCGTGTGGGCAGACAGGCTGCTGCAGGGGAGGGGCTCTGGCAGCTGGGCCTGTGGCGGGGGCCACCCCGGGAACTCCCCGGAGCTCCTTAACCACCAGGGGCTCATGCACCACTTCCATCTTGTTGGGTCCCTCCTCCCTGGAGGCCCCTTGCTACCCACACCCCTCCAGCCGCCCCAGACTTGGGCCTTGCCTGAGAGCCTCTGTCCCAAGGGCAGAGCAGGAGGAGCTGCTCCACGCACAAGCCCCACCTGCTCTATTCAAGGCCCTCAGGGGCCCCGTGCACTGGGGAGGGCAGGGAGCAGGCCAGGTGGGGCTGCCCGGCCTCCTTCCAGAAGCTTCCCAGGATGCTTGCAGGATGCTGGCCTGTGTCCTGAGGCAGAAGGGAGACCGCCAGCCTGAAAGGGAGGGCAGGATGCCCACTGAGGCCAGCTATTGGTTTTCTCGCCCGCGTTTCTGTGACAGGTGCTCCCCAGCGCCCACACTTTCTCTGACCACTGTGGATGCCCATTCGCCCAGGGCTCTGTGGTTCTTATCTGGAAGCTGCTCACATCACCTTTGAGCTGGGCCTGCACTGTGGGCACCCCAGACCTGGAAGAAGCCCCCAGGAAGCCTGGGGTCCACCCTGGCATGGTTCTGCATGGTCTAGTGGTGCCCCAGGCAGCAGGTTCTGGCCTCTGCCCAGTGGGGGCCTGCTCCGGGACCACAGTGGCCCAGCTGCTCAGGCTGGGGACTGTCCCCATCCTGGAAGGGCCCCAGTGACCCCTCTGTTCTCCCCCACCCCCAGGTTGGCATCAGAGGTTTCAGCCGTCACCACCAGCCACTCTCCAGTGAGGGCCCTTCCTGGGTCTCCTCTGCTCTTGGGGACAGTCCTGCCCAGACCTGATCCCAGCGGAGGTTCCTGCCATTCCTGCCCCATCTGGGAGGCCAGCCCATTCTTGCCCAGCACCCTCGAGCTCCCTGTTTCCCCAGGTGCCCCTCTGCTTGCTCCACCAGGGCAGCCGGGCCTCGGGGAAGGAGAGCCACAGACCCAAAGGCCCACAGCCCATCCGGGGACACTGGATCTCGCCCAGAACAGTGAGGGGCACCCCTCCTGGTGCCGGCTGGGAATGGACTTCACGGACTCTTTGATCCCACAATGAGGGGTGCCAGGCCCTGGCAGGAGCCTTTGACACTGCTTGGCCCAGTTTGGGGGGGAAAGCCTCCTGCCAGGCTGCGGGCAGACAGATGGGCATGCGGGCAGCACAATGCCCCTGGGGCCTGTGTGCCACCCCTCCCCTCCCTCCCACCCCCTTCCCCGCCCTGCTCCTGAGGGGGCTGTGGGTGCTGGGACCAGCATCCTGGCAAGGCTGACAGCACAGGTGGGCATGGTCCTGGGCAGCCCATTGGGCTCTTGCTCCCACTCCAGATGGGAAAGAGGTCTTCCCCGGGGCTGCTGGAGTGGGGTCTGTCCAGAGCTCCCCAATGAGTCTGGCTCCCCATCCTGGCTGGGTGGGGGCTCTGCTGGGGAGACTGGCCGGGGCTGGAGCCAAGCCTTTGGGCTGGGATGGGAGGCGCAGACCGGAGGGCACATGCGTCTGGTTCTCGTCCCAGCCCTGCTGTGACTGCTCGGGGGCGTGAACACGTCACCCCAACCTCCCCACCTGGTGCCTCACGCAGGCCCGGGGGGTCTGGATATTGCTGCTGACTCTGAGTGGCCCCCAGATCTGGCTCCACCAGGAACTCATTTCTAAAAGGAAGTGGTGGCCAAGCCTTCCGGAAAGAGAAGGCCCTCCCCCAGGGGACCCTGCTTCCCAAGGCTCCATGTTCTCCGAGGGAAGGCTGAGCTGGGCCCCCTCCTCCAACAGATGACAGTCTCCATGGAGGAAAGAGGTGCCAAGCCTGTCATCACCTGGCATTCTCCAGGGGCTGCTGTAGGAGGCTCACCCCTGGAAGGAGGGCTGATGGGGAAGCCTACAGTCTCCAGCCCCGCCTAGCCAGGGAGACCCTACCTCTCCCTGTAAAGGGGGCCACCCCAGGGCACAGAGCAGGGCCAGGCCTCCTCTCTGTTCTGTTTGTTTTTTTAAAATATTTATTTATTTAGCTGCGCCAGTATTTGCTGCATGTGGGGTCTTAGTTGCAGCAAGCAGGGTCTTTAGTTGAAGCAAGCAGGGTCTGAGTTGCAGCAAGCAGATATCTTCGGTCTTCATGGTGCCATGTGATATCTAGTTCCCTGACCAGGGATCGAACCCAGGCCCCCTGCATTGGGAGCACAGAGTCTTAGCCACTGGACCACCAGGGAGGTCACGCCCATCTGTTCCGACTCACACAGGGTGGGTGATGGGGACCAAAGCCCTGAGCAGGCCTGGGGCAGGTACTTCCTGTCCAGGTGACACAGGGCTGGCTCTGCCCCCTCCCTGAGTCACTCCCACTCCTGTCTGGGGGGTAGGGGTAGGGGATGAGTGAGCTCCAGGGCTCCATGTGTTTCTGGGTTGGCCTCAGGGTCCAGCCCAATCGGGGAAACGTCTCTCCAGGGCCAGCTGTCTTGGAGACGGATCTTGAAGCCATAGCAGGGTGTTTGATGGGTGAAGGGTCAGGTCTCAAACATGGCAAGGTGTGGTCTGCACTGTGGGTGGGCGAGCGGCTTTCAGAGTGGACCAGGGCGGGAGGGCCGAGTGCAGGACTCACCTGGAATTTCTTCTTGGCCACAAAGTACTGCATGCGCCGAATGACCTTGATGGTGGCCCGGTGGTGCTCCCGCAGCCTGCGGTGGAGAAGGGAGAGGAGGAGGGTGGTCATCCTGCGCCTGCCACTGTCAGAGGCCTGCAGGCTGCCCATGTGTCCCCACTGCACACGGCTGGGCCCCTCCAGGAGCAAGGAGAATGTTCAGCCTCCCGGGATGGGGATCTGCAAGCCCCCGTCCTGCTGGCAGGGGGAAAGGCTGAGGCTGCGAGACTTTTAATTAACGGGGGCCCCAGAGGGACCCTGGCCCTGCTCGTCGCTCAGAAGTGGGGTTGGAGTCAGGGCCCTGTGTTGGCAGTGGCTATGGCCCTTAACCTCAGTACAGCTGCACAGGCTTCTTTCTACCTTGAGGCCTCAGGTTCCTCACCAGTATAGTGGGGAGGGGGTACAAGCAGATGACCCCTAAGGCCCCTTGCAGCTGGAATGTTCCATGGCCCACCCATCAGTACCCGCTTGGAAAATGTAGGACGGGACAAATCAGTCAGGGATTGTTACTACCTATGCCACTCAAGCCACCTTAGCCACAACGAAGCAGAGACATTACTTTGCCAACAAAGGTCCATAAAGTCAAAGCTACGGTTTTTCTAGTAGTCATGTATGGATGTGAGATTTAGACCGTAAAGAAGACTGAGCTCCGAAGAATTAATGCTTTTGAACTATGGTGTTGGAAAAGACTCTTGAGAGTCCCTTGGACTGCAAGGAGATCAAACCAGTCCATCCTAAAGGAAATCAACCCTGAATATTCTTTGGAAGGACTGATGCTGAAGCTGTAGCTCCAATACTTTGGCCACCTGATGCAAGGAACTGACTCATCTGAAAAGACCAAGATGCTGGGAAAGACTCAGGGCAGGAGGAGAAGGGGATGACAGAGGATGAGATGGTTTGATGGCATCATTGACTCAATGGACATGGGTTTGAGCAAGCTCTGGAAGATGGTGAAGGACAGGGAAGCCTGGTGTACTGCCATCCATGGGGCTGCAAAGAGTTGGACACAAATGAGCGACTGAACAACAAAAACCACTCTGCTAAGGGTGCTGTGTTTTCTCCCCTCTAAAGTTCCTTCTAGTGTGTGTGTGCCTGCTAAGTTGCATCAGTCATATCCAACTCCTTGTGACCCTGTGGGCTATAGCCCGCCAGATTCCTCTGTCCATGGGATTCTCTGGATAAGAATACTGGAGTGGGTTGCCATGCCCTCCTCCAGGGGATTTTCCCAACCGAGGGATCGAACCTGCATCTCTTGTGTTTCTTGCATTGGCAGGCAGGTTCTTTACCACTAGCGCCACCTGGGAAACCCCAAAGTTTCTTCTAGAAACATCATCAAAAGGGGAACACAATGGCTGATATATGTGCACAGAAAAAGTCTGGAAGGAAATAATACACATGGAACCAGAGGAGACTTTGCTTCTGGCTCTGAAGCTTGCATCTGATCGCACTTTCTGCTGAAGACACCTCCACAGCTGTGTGACAGCTTTATGACCAAGGAAGCCCCCAAGGGCTGAGGTCCCAGGAGTGAAACAAGCCGGGTGAGCCCACATGTGCATACGTGCGTTTATTGTGTGGGGCACATGGGCTGAGTGTGAGGCTCGGACTCCCTGGGCTGGCGAGATAAACAGGAGGCCAGGGCTGCGAAGATGTCCAGGACTTGACAGGCCAAGATCCTGGTGAATGGTGGGGGGGGAGGGCAGAGAGAAGGGAGCCCCTTTCACCCAGTTTCTCCTGGAAGTGTTTGTGAAATAAGTTGCACAGCACGGGGTGAGATTCTGAGAAATGGAGCAAAAAACAGCTGCCAGAAGGACAAAAAGCTAAGCAGAGGCCCCTGCAAACTCATGTTATGGAGGAGAGAAGGATTCTGGCTCAGAGTCATCAAGGAGATGGGGTCCTGGTAAACAGCCCAAGCTTTCAGAGGAGACCCCAACCCTGCCACGGCCTCAAATCACCTCAGTCCCCACCTGGAGCAAATGCTTGGTCTAGCGCCTTTAGCTCTCCAGAGAAAACCATGACATCCATAGAGAAACAAGATCATGGAGCCTCTCTTTATTTCATACACAACAGACTGAAAATCAAGGGACAAAACAGACCACAGAAACAGATCTTAAGGTGTGGTAGATTGTTGTTCAGTTGCTAAGTTGTGTCCGACTCTTTGAGACCCCAGGGACTGCAGCACACCAGGCTTCCCTGTCCTTCACTATCTCCCGGCATTTGCTCAAACTCACGTGCATTGAGTCAACTCATAGCTCCTCCACCAAGAGATAAGGGTTGGTTTTCCCGCTAGCTGAATTCGGGCTGACCTTGACCTTTATTATGATAAAAAGAAAGCCAGGGAAGTCCCACAGTGTGTAACTCATGTGTTCTTGGAATGTGGTTACGTGGACCACCTGAATTGGCTGACTTGGGGGGCCGTGTGGAGAATGAGGTGCCCAGGCCAAGAGCCAAGCCAAGAGCAATAGCAGGTGAGTGCGGGCATCGTCCACCGTCCACCTCCAGCCCTGATGAACCGCCAGGTGACCGCAGCTGGATGAGTCACCTCACACAAAGCCACCAGAACAGCCTTCCAGCTGAGTTGGGCCCAAATTACTGACCCACGGAATCATGAATAATGAAAGAGTTGTGATGTGAAGCCGGGAAGTGTAGGCATGGTTTGCTATGCATCAATAGATTAAAAGAAATTAGACCCCAAAGTGGGGTACATGTATCAATCCTGAAATAGTGCTGGGACCAGGCTTCAGACAGAGGCTGACAAAGAAAAAAAAAAGGCCAGCTGTAAGATGCTGGACTTTGGGCATGGTACCATCTCTAATTTCGTGAGACTCTGGGGTTTCTTTGAGGGGTATGTGAATCTTGCTTTGGTGGAAGTGTATAAAGTTATGGCCAGAGGGCACTCTGGGGAAGGTTACAGATGGGTGCAAGTCCTTTGCAGTTCCCCCCATCAGAGTGCCCCCCCAACCCTGCTGTTTCCACCACTGTAGAATATGTTGCCACGTGGACATGTCTGAGCTGGGCTGCTGGAAAAGCCACATGGAGAAGAGCTGAAGCACCCTCCCTAACAACCTGACAGCTCCAGACTCCTGAGGCTAGCTGAGACTACCCAGTCACCACCAAGCTGCCACTTGAAGGAGCTGGGTGAAACCACCCAGATGAGGAACGCAAAATGTTGACCCACAGATTCAGGAGCAAATAGATCAGACAATTTCCTTCATAAGGACTAACATAAGGACTTGAAAATAACATTGATAAATAGGTTCAAGAAAGTAGAAGACAAGATGAAGAATTTCACTAGAGAAGTAAAACTTATATTAAATGGGAAAAAAAGGGAAATTCTAAAGCACAAAAGACAATCATGGAAATTAAAAATGCGTGAGATGAATTTGATGGCAGAGGTGACATAGGAAAAAAAAAAGAGAGAGTACTTGTGAACTAGAGAAACTAGCCAGGATGGAGTGTGGAGGGAAAGTAGAATTAAAGATATAGAAAAAACACGAGATATCTGAGATAGGGTTAGAGGTTCTAACACACGTGACATCTCAGAAGGAGAGGAGACAAGATGGAGAACAAGTAATTTTGAAGGCTGAATGGTTCAGAATTTTCCCCAAATGGTGGAAGACGTCAGGCTGCAGATTTCAGCAGCTCCCTGGATCCACCAGGCTCCCCTGGTGGCTCAGATGGTAAAGAATCTGCCTGCTATGCAGGAGACCTGGATTTGATCCTGGGGTCGGGAAGATCCCCTGGAGAAGGGAATGGCAACCCATTCCAGCATTCTTGCCTGGAGATTTCTAGGGACAGAGGAGCCTGGGGGGCTATAGTCCATGGGGTTGCCAAGAGTCGGACATGACTGAGTGACCAACATTTTCACTTTCTTTTCACTTGGCTCCAGTTGGAGAGTTGGAGAGAAAGATCCAGGCCCATTTGAGTCCCTCTGCTGAAGGCCAAAGGCACAGAAGTACTGAGGGGGTGTGTGTATGATGACACATTATCCTGATGGTTGACTTGTCAACACTGAGGATGAAAGCCAGAATAACATCCTGAAAGAGCTCAAGGAAAATTCCTACCAAGGTGGCATTCCATACCCATCAAATGTATTTTTAGAAATGAAGGTGCAAGTGAAATAATCCAGTCACGAAAGGATAAACCCTGTACTACTCCACTTATATGAGGACCTACAGTCATTAAATCCGTAGAGATAGAAAGTAGGAGGGCAGCGGGCGGGAGAGGGCTGGAGGGGAGTGCTCGGCGGGGACAGAGTGTCCGTTTGGGAAGGTGAAAGCTCTGCAGACGATGGGGTGATGGTTACACAACAGCGTGAATGCAATCGATGACCCTGAATGGTGCACTTAAAAATGCTTAAAATGAGGCGAATGGTCTATTTTGTGTTATGCATGTTTTTCTACAATAATAATAATAAGAGAAGGTACAAACTAAACCGAGAGAATCCACGGTGGTGAGACCTGTACTGGAAGAATGAGTCTGGTGGCTCCCCAGGATTCAGCAATGACCCCAGAAGGACACATAGAGATATCTCAATACAAGAAGCAACTAAGACTGTAGAAAAGGACAGATATGTGAGAAAGTTTAAATTAGTAAATTAAATTGACTGAAACAATCATGGTATGTTTCCCGAGGTTTAATGTATAGCTACAGCTAAAACTGCACAATTAAACATAGCGCAAGGAAGGGGGTGTCCATGGAGCTAAACAGCTGTGAACACCACGTGTTGTCAGGGTAATGGTCAAAGTGCTCAACTGAGGTTGACTCCAGTGAGTCAAGGATGTGTATGATCATCTCCAGGCAACCACTGATGGGATAATAAAGGGTGTAGAGTTAACAAGTGGAGAGGGGATAAAAATTAATTAATAACAATTTTTGATCAATCCAAAGAAGCAGGAAAGGAGGTCAAAAGGAAGTGATGGAACAAGTGAAGAAATAGATCGAGAGGGTAGCTTGCATGCATTGCAGAGGGACTATATATTGCAACCAAAAGCTAAGATTGTCAGGTGGGGTTTTAAAGAGATAATTTGATATGGTCTA